GCGCAAGTTTGCTCAGTACTGTGATCCAAACTAGTCGATAAGTCAGTCTGAGGACTCCGTGTACGAAAGTGCCAAAATTGTCTGCTAGAGGGCACTAAAGCATAGGTCAGCCTGTGCTCCGAAATAGACGAAAGCTTATGGTGGTTGCAGTTTCAAAATACTTTAATGAGGCGACGCTGTTCGATTTCCAAAACTATAATCGGCATTCAGCTGGAGACATTAGTGGATGTAGACATGAGGTCAGTGCGAACGGGTGCACCATATGTTAATATGAGGAAATTGCACTAGCTAACTTAGGTGCAAATAGTTTCAACGTTGTTTCTGCAGTCGTCAGCGAAGCTTGGTGGGAAGGGCAGTGGTGTGAGTGAACGGTTCTCAAACCCGTGGATAAGGCGTACGTGACTTCGTGAACAGCTCGTGGAAAGGGAGGTATTAGTTTACAAGCAACTTCAGAGACAGGATCATCAAGTGGCGGGGCGTGGTGGGGCAAAAATGGATCAGCGGGCCATCACGTACCACTTTTAGGACAGTTTAGTAGACCCCGTTCAGGAAATGGGTTAGAGAGCTGCAGAGAAAAGGCAAGTCATCGTGTAGGGGCTACCATGAACACTCGAATACCACCCGGGGGTATGGATGGCTTTCCGATAACACACGCTCAGCGGAAGATGTGTTAACAAATCCTGGAAAGTGGACGAATCTTAAACACTTAATTGTCTGAGCCATGCGATGACAAGAGGCCAAAGAAAAGAAAAAGAGGCAAGACAAATTTCCAGATGTGGCACGATGCTAAGCGTGCAGTGTGAAACGTCCTTGGAGGGTGAAGGAAAGTTGCCGTCACTCACAGTTAGGTGCGTAAGTGAAACTGACAGGCGCATTGGCAGTTCACTGCCAAAATGCATCCAGGCAAAAAGCACGCGGTTTGGATGCCAATAAAGCCAAAGGTAACTGCAAGTTCGAGGTTTAAATAGGGACTTTGCATGCGTAATTAGATGTGATTGTGGTGCAAGTGCTGGAAGGTTGGGGTGGAGTCGGGTTATCTAGCGAATTATGCGGGTAGGTTCTAGTTCTTCGGTGGAGCAGGAAGTACTACACAAAGAAACTTAGATAATTAGACCTTGAGTCTAAAATTTCATCATATTGGATTGAAAACAAGGAGGCCTGTGGAGAGGACAAGTGCTAACAAACTCTCATATAGTTCCAGTTTCTGGAAGGGGGAATCGGCCTCTTCTTTAAACACGAAGGGGTATTGGAACCTAACATAATTATCGCCGGTAAAAACGCTGGGTGTCAAAATTTAGGGGCTGCCACCGAATAGGCGGCGGTGTTCAGGTTCAAGAAACAATATAAGGGGTAAACTGTGCGAAGGTGCGACAAATTCTTCGGCCTCGTTTTTGACAGTAGGGACTCAACTATTTTAGATACGATGGATTGCAAAGACATCCTCGGAGGGACATGGTGACTGACATTTGAAAGCATGGCTCTGTGAATTTCGTTCACAGATGCTTCAGTAAAGCTCCTACTTGTTCATTTGGTGTGGAGGTTGATCGAACAGGACCTATGGGCTGCTAGCACACTAGTGTGACTGATTTGGTTGGCATGAGGCGGAAAAAGATGGTAATATGTGAGATACAAAGCTGATAGACATTTTTGTTTAGTTTAAGAGGGATGGGGCCAACAACTTAGTGTCTTGGAGTACTACATCAACCCCAACACTGCCACAGGCAGTAAAATGCCCACCATCGTTCGATTTGACTGCATAGCAGGCCTGGTTTTCCGGTGGGCTCAATAAGCTGAAGTTATCCTCCCTCACATAAATCAACTGCAATCCAACTAGCATCGCTGCATGAGACGTCAGAAAGAATCTTGCATTGCGTTCGTTAATCAGTTGCGCTAATGTTGAGCAACTTAACATGGTCTTGGCCTTCTGGGACGTTGAGCAGTAAAATTGGTAGTTTTTGCGTTCTCCAGGGCAATCGGGTCAGGTGCATTATGCATTAGGATACTCGTTGTCTCAGAAGAAAAGCACTAGTTTATGAAGGCGCTTTTACCAGTGAGTAGGGATGATTTTAATCCATGATAACGACGGTAGAGCCGTGCTTCGCTGGTTTCAAAGTGTAACCGTCTGGTAGCAGAAATCGTGTAAATTTAGGATAAGCTTTTTCATTCTAGGAGACAGACCTAGTGAGGCCGGTACTAACGAGATAAATCGTTGTACAATCCTGCTGAATGGGGAACGGCTGATGGCGCTGCTATTACGGCTTTGAAGGGAGCGTTCTAA